TCTATCTATCTATCTATCTATCTATCTATCTATCTATCTATCTACACTGCAAAAAAAATGAAATCTCAATAAGCCATTTTTTCTTAAATTAAGTTATTTTTTCTTGAATTAAGGAAGTGAGACACTTTGCCAATGGAACAAGACAATTTACATTTAAAATAAGAGAAACCAATTGCATTGTCTTATTTCAAGTGCATATATAATTATCTTATGTTAAGAGTAAAAAGATTAATTCCATTGGCAAATGATCTTATTTATTTACTCAAATTGAGGCTAAATACACTTGATTTAAGATTTTTTTTTTTACTTATTTCTGATCATCTGTTTGTCTAACAACAACATTTTATACACGTATAAACAAATTTAAATATTTACTCTATTGTGTTTTTAATGTTTTAAATAAAATACTATCCTATATCTAATTTTCCCCCACCTTATTTGCAATAACCCCTCTCTAATAAAACCTCTGCAGCCTGCAGAGCTTTAGGCCGGCCTGTTTGAAGTTTTCTCTATAAATGAGAAAAGGCAAACACTATAAAACAAGTCCCAAGAAGACAGCTCAACTTATCCCTTCTTCTAACAAAGAAGGTTAAACGGGAGGCCGGCTTTTCAGATCCCCTTTTGGACAACCTCTTTCTCACATCTCCATGTTTTCAGCTTCATTAAACCCCTTAAAGACAAAAGAAATAAAAAAACCGAGATGAGAAGAAAACAAACAAAAGGACTCCCTAACCAGACTTTGGCAGAAATGTCACCATCTCAAACTCTTAATGGCTTCCCTCTTTAACATTAAAACCCCTTTCCCAACAAAAATCCATTTTTTTGTTTAGAAAACCTTCTTGGACAGAAGTCAAACATATTATTTCAGGCTAAAAGGCGAATAAAGACAAGCGGCTCACCAAATAAAAAAAAAAAAAAAAAGAGGGGAGGCACTTTCATTGTAATTCATTGACTTGTTCAAAACGCCATCCAGGCACAGAAAGGGGCCCAGACATTAATAGCCGCAGATGCCCTCATGAAGGGGGGAGTCTATGTAGGCATTATGCTCTTTGTTCGCAGCCAGTTAAACTGTTTAAAAGGAGGGTTAACTCAATCCATCAAATTGTCTGAAATTGTGAGGAAATTTCAAAAACCATATGGCTTCCAAACGTTTGCGTCCTTTTTGTGCGGTGGGACACACTTGTCTCAGTATTGCTGCCTGCGGGGGACCGGGGCCCTGCTCCTTTGTGGATCGTCCCATCAGGGGACTGCTGCTCATTTGTCCCCACTTTTCATGCTTTGCGCTCAAAATTACGGCCCCGCAGTTCCGCGGAACAAAAAGCCATGCTCTATAAAAAAAAAAAAAAAAAAAAGGCTCAGAGAAACTGGCCCAAAACTTTTTCTTTTCTTTTCTCTTCGCCCCCTTTTTTTTGCACCAGATTTGTGTTTCTCACATAAATTTTTAGCCCGAATAGGGAAACACGTCTGAGGGTCAAGAAGGCACGATACGCATTTATTAGACGTGAAAAGGAGGGGATGCGGGGATTCCAAAACCACAAAATGTTTAGAACAGAGAGAGAAACAAAAGGGACAAAATAGCTCAGAATAATAACTTAAAAAAAATGAATGATTTTGATGAGCTTAGCAACAAGAAAACACAAAAAGCCCCCAAGAATTGCAGCAAAAAAAAAAAAAAAAGGAGTCAGAAAAGCAATTTTTATTCCCATCGTAGCCTATATACAATACAGTCTGTGCATTGGTTTTCAGATAATGTCCTGATTTTAGGAAGGCACTTACAGGTGTACAAAACATAACAAAATTTATAGAACTGTAAATCTATTGTATACAAACAATAATCTAAAAGCTGTGGAGGGAGGGAAATCACCATATATTCCGGCTGATTTCTGGAGACACGGAGGAGGAAGAGCCGGCAGTGACTGAAAGAGGGCTTGGCTCTTGGAATAAAATAATAATTAAAAAAAGTGAAAATAAATATATGTTTATAAATCAAATCATGCATTTCCATGCAAACATGGGAAACAGATGTTTTATTGAGGTGAATGTGTTTGTGGAGGGGGGATTGGAAAACCAACAGAGCAGGTGTGTGTGTGTGTATGTGTGTGTGTGTGTGTGTGTGTGTGTGTGTGTGTGCATGCCAATGCGTGTTCGTTGCTTTAAAAAAATAAAACTGGTTATTTTTAGGCCATATTGCTTTGATGGAAACAATAAAAGTTCGCTAATGAATACATCACTGCATATTTCTGCGCTCATGCTTTACTGTGAATCTGTGCCGATAGAAAAAGTCGTTTCGTTTTGGTACATGTTCTCATATAAGCAGTAAGTTTACAAGTCCTCTCTGCAGGATCATCTCCACCCCCACCATCTCTCTCTGTCAGTGTGTGCGTAAAGCCATCAGTCATCCACGTCTATCTCCACGTCCTCATCCTCCGAGCACTCCTTGCTCGTTGTGTGGTCCGAGAAGGGAGACAGCGGAGAGCTGCGCAGTTTCTGAACCAGCTCGTGCGGGTGATCCTGCGGGCCTCCCCGCGCGGGGGAATCGGCGCGCGGGTGGCCCAGCGTGCCGTTAGCGCACTTCTCCAGGTCCGCCAGCTTGGCCAGCTTGTCCAACGGTACCTGGCCGATGGCTTTGGCCGACTCCACGTCGGCCTTCATCTCCTCCAAGTCCCGCTTTAGCTTGGCCCTTCTGTTCTGAAACCACGTGATGACCTGCGCGTTGGTCAGACCCAGCTGCTGGGCGATCTGGTCCCGGTCTGCGGGGGACAGGTACTTCTGGTACAGGAAGCGCTTCTCCAGCTCGTAGATCTGATGGTTGGTGAAGGCCGTCCGGGACTTCCGACGCTTCTTTGGGGTGCTCCTCTGACCGAACAGGGTCATTCCATCTCGGCCTTTAGAGGGAAGAAGAGAAGCATAATAAAATGAATAAATGAATGGTGTGCGTTCAGAGGTGTTACAAAAAAATAAAAAATAAAATAAATAAGATAATAAAAAATAAACAATATGGGCCAAGCCCAAATTTTTCTCGGAGTCAATCTGCCAGTTCGCCTCCATTTTGTAGCTATACGTTGCTGTTTCGTACCTTTCCACTTCCATTTCACACCCACATCCCTTAATATGTAGTATGGCCTCACATTCATTAAAGTCAGTTTCACGAATTATGAAAAAAAAAACAACTTGTCATTCATTTCAAGTGAACGACTTTATATCACAGCCCTTTTCTATTTATTTTTGGTCCTCATCATTGGTTGGACCAGTTGAATCATGAAATCTGATAGTTTAAGACATTTTATACCAGAACAACTTTGAATTGTCCCTCTGATGGCCATAGGGTCACCCCCATATCATTTTAAGGGTCATACAGCCACTTGTCTTTCCTTTTGGCCTTGGATATGTGTAGTTTATACATCACCTTAAAGGTATACCCAATGCATAAATGTCAGGTACAAAACTAATTATTATATACTATATACTAATTATTAAATAATTGGCTTTATGAGGCAACTTTGTCGACATGCGGAAGTATGGATAATGTTTTACTTTATATTTTCCTTCCAAACATTTCGATTTTGGTATATATAATTTAAATTCAGACACTGCTGTTTAATGCTGACAATTTTCTGTTACATTTGGACCATATTTTTAAATCAAATGTACCATAGAGCATATCTCGCGTGCCCCAGAAAAAAATGCCTATTTATTTCATAAGTTAAAATATGGCTATACAACATTAATTCACTGGCAACAATGAACCAGTTGCCTTTATGATTATTTACACTGAAGAGCGGCAGAGTGAGTCCTAAACGAATAATAATACAAACCTACTTCTCACTTTAAAATAAAAAAAGAAAAGATAATCAAGTGTTATATTAAATCCTAGAGCCGTAGGTTATTTTATTATACATACATTACTGTAAACTGAAATAATGCGATGCAATATGTGGTTTGTTCCTTGCTTCTATTGTAAATATCTGTATAGAAAACAATAGATTGATGTGAAAATGACAGAAAATGTGTTTATAGTGTTCCTCTGCAGTTTTAGACATTTGTTTTCTGACTTATTCTGGAAAATGAAATGAAACCGTCTGCCTACATGACATTTAGTCCCGATTATTCGTTTATGCTCAGCTCTACTGAAGATGTTTCGGCACCTTTAGGAGAAAACTGAAGATTTATCACGTTTTTCTTTATTCAATCCTTATTCAGCTGTTGTTAAGTGCAGTTATAACACTCCAGTTATTTTTAATAGGCCAAACGAAGAAAGCAGGAATTCAAATATGAATATAATGTTTCATATTTCAAAATTATATCAGAAAAAAACAACCTGGAATATAAATTTTTCGGAAATTAATATAAAACTATGATCTTAGTATTTTATTACTATTGTTAAAAGGTGTTTGACTAGAAAACTGAAATAAGCTGATATGAATGAAATGGATTATTACCATAGACGGCTACTCCACTAAATATTATGACATTTCGCCGATGTTTATCTAAAGTGGGCATAAAAACTGTTTAAAATACTAAAAATTACAAAAATAAAGACAGCTTAGAACCTGAAAAAACAGATTTTCAAAATTGGAGGAAATACAGCTCAATGGTTTGGAAACATACAAAAAAAAACCCCCACATATATCCATGAAGTTAATATGAAAAAACACAAACAAAACCAGATTTTTGTTGTTGTTGTTTTTAAATAAATGAAAAAATGAGGATATTTGGCCTTGCATCGAAGCCTTATTCTGCCTCGGAGGTTTACCTTCTGCAGCCTGTAGCACACTAACTTCCAGTCCCTTGAAGGTCTTGCTGGCCAGCTCCTCCAGGGCGCACAGAGGGGACGTTTGTGTGAGCAGTGCGCGACTGGACAGCGGCAGGCTGGACGGACGGTGCTTCTCGGAGGACGAGATGAGATGAGCCGTGCCGCAGATGGCGTAGCTCCGCTTCACAGACGGTTTGTTCAGGATGTCGTCGATGCTGAAGGGCGTCAGCGGCTTGTTGGAGTTGGCAGGAGGTGGCAAGTGGTCCAGCGGGCTGCGCCTCCTGCTCTCCGCCGCGTCGCATTTGGCCACCTCTTTGGATGTCATCACTGGTTGGAGGAAAAGTTTAGTTGCTTGAGATTTTATAGCTTACAAAAACGCCGAGAATGAATGAAAAAATAAAGATCACATACCACTTTCGCGGCAAAGTAAAAAAGATACATAAAAAAAAATGAATAAAGGATAGGGTTATTCCAAAGTGGGATGCGCTCAAACTCTCGATCCGCAGGAGTGAGGTGCCTCCCTGAAAATGGCGAAGTCCAAACAGTTGAAGATTACTAACAAGTTATCATTGATTGGTGGCTAATCAATTATCTCCAGTGGCACTTTCGCCCTCTTCCCTTTCACTCTTTGACTATGTTGCAGTCCAGCGCTGAGCTTTTTGCGACTGGGGGGGTGTCCCATTAATTAGGACGCATGGTTGGAAGGAGGAGGAGCCCGGCGGAATTATAATGCTCGGTGCTCTTATCATCTTTGGTCTAATTTAGTCGTGTGGTGAGACACCAGAATAGGTATGTGGGGTAAATGAGGGGAAGCAGAAAGACAGAGAGAAATAGAGTGAGAGAGAAAGAGGGAGAAGATCACAATCTGTAGTCAATTTGTGCGCTTTTACGCATGAAACTCCAGTCCAGCGGCACTTTATGGGCTTTCATGTAAAAGTATTTGGACAAGTCGACTCTGGTTCCGTAAGAGGCCACAGCCAAAAGACTAAGATATTTTCCTCGACCCACATCGCGGATGATCCTTTGTTTTTTGTAAAGGTAATGCGGAGCTGGACCATATATCAGCTCTGATGATGCCTCCTCTGGGGCGAGAGAAAGGCTGCGGCATGCATCCCTCTCAGCGACGCCGAATCCGGGCCATAACTCAGGCAGAGAGGGCTCCTTTATTTATCATCCGAGAAATATTTCATTTCCTCTCGGAGCGCAGAGCATCCTGCGGCTGGGACGGTGTAGCTTCGAACCAAAGCGGCGAGCATTTGCATACGGCTTAGTTCTTAAAAACATGTAGGCCATTTCATTTGACATAAATGAAAAAAAGACACGATTTACGTTGCAATTAAGAAGAAAAATGTAAGTTTTTCTTTTTGTCATAAACCCCTTTTCTTTTCCCTACATTAAGAGTAACAAAATAATTGTATTATGATTATTATTATTTGTTAATAGTACAGAAATTATTGCTCTTATTTTAGTATTCTTTATTATTATTGATGAAGTCATATTTATATTCACCAAATAGTTAATAATAAAATTGGAAACAACAATTGGAGAAATGTCAACGAATTAAAGTAAATTTAAATGAAACATTTCTGAACATTTTTAGT